ACCACACACACACACACACACACAGTCAACATTCCTGTCCTTGGTGCTGAACACTATCCACACACAGGCAAACATGCGTGTCCCTGGTACTGAACACCATCCACACACAAACACACCTGTCCTTGGTGCTGAACACCATCCACACACAGGCAAACATACCTGTCCTTGGTGCTGATCACTATCCACACACAGGCAAACATGCCTGTCCCTGGTACTGAACACCATCCACACACAAACACACCTGTCCTTAGTGCTGAACATTATCTATGGACAAACAAACACTTGTCAAGCTCTGTGCGGCTGTACCTATAGGTAATAACAGCCACACCTGTCCCCTCCCCAGGCCCTGGCAGCCCAGGTGAGTGAGGATGACCTTGCAGCCGGCAGACTGTACCCTCCGCTCAAGGACATCCTGAAAGTGTCCACCAAACTGGCCACACATGTGGCTGAGTACGTGTACAGACACGGGCTGGCAGCTTTCTACCCTGAACCTGAGGTACGTACTGTCACTAAGTAAGTACAGTAATCTGTGTTAAGATCCAATAAACCAGTCTACTACTACTACTACTACTACAGTGTGTGTCACTGGAAGACAGGCGAAAAATGTCCAGACTATGCATGATGTACAAAATGAGTAATAAACTGGTGGACATAGAAACCACTAAGTATCTGATACCAGCCCAGAAAAGAGCAAGAAACAGTCATGCCTTCAAATCACAGTCATCCAGAGTTACCAAGAATTGAGGTGTTCAAAAACTCATATTTTCCAACAACTATCGTGGAACTTGCCACCGAGCACATTACAGGCATAGTAATATAGCTAACTATAAGGAGCTATCTGGTTTAGAGGCTGTTGTTCCTTGATGGTAGCCCGCCATTTGCCTCTATCCTGTGGCTATGTAGTTTAAGGTGGTGGAAGTCCTCTCTTACGTTGTCAATCCATCTCTTCCTTGATGGAAGTTCGATGAGTCCATTTTCTCATCTCTCCAGGACAAGGAGGCGTTTGTGAAAGCCCAGCAGTACAGCACCAAGTACAGCACTTTCCTCCCTGACGTGTACAGCTGGCCCAAACATGCGCAGGAGATATCCCTTCAAGAGATGAAACCACTCTGGGACGACTTGGACGAAAAAGGACATTAGAGACCCCGCAGTTCACTAAAATACCAATAGAGGAACTATCTAAATACCAGGAGCTTTTTACACTGTTATGTAAAGGAATATCGAACAAGGACTTATTTCATAAAATGAAACCACCATGGGATGACTTGGACGAAAATGGACATTAGAGACCCTGCAGTTCACTAAGATATCAACAGGAGGAGCTATTAAAATACCAGGCACTTTTTACAACTGTCAAGCGCTAAAATATCAACAGGAGAGCTTTTAAATACATACCAGGAGCTTTTTGTACTGCTTTTTGCAACTGTCAAGGAATACTCAACAAAGAATTATGATATATGAACACCATGGAGTTTACTAAAATATCAGCACAGGAGCTATTAAAATACCTGGAGCTTTTTTGAAACTGTCAAGGAATGCCCAATATATAATATATAAACACATTATTTAAGAGCACAAAGTACAGCTGATTTCAACTGATTAACTTGCAGTTCATAACAGTACCAACAGGAGGAGCTATTGACGATGAGCCTGAAACTTAAAAGAAGTGTGATAATGCTGGAACTTCATGTCAGACAGCCTCAAATATACATGTTACAGAAATGCTATTTATGGAAGTTACTGCTAGGTTGGTAACATGCTTTTTACACAGAGAAACGTACAAAATACTAGTGGCATTAAGATACGACTATGGCTCCAAACTTTCCAGCTCAACGAACCATAGATTTCTGAAGAAAAATTGAATGACTCATTGCAGTTATTGAAGATCATACTTTTCAGAACATATATGTATCAGAGATATGAGTATACATGTACATGTAGCTTGCAGTATATTGTACACGTACATGTGAGAGCATGCATATACAGACGGGTATGTTACTTTTTAGACTTGGCTGCTATTTTCTTTGAGAACATTGTAACATCTCCCTTCATATTGTGTTTTGTACATAAATGTAAAACTGTAAAACGTTTATTTATGTTTGTGTTACGATCTCTCACTGTTGTCACTGTTTTTTTGTTGCATATGGATTATTTTCTAAATGTTGCTTTTTGTACATTTTTACTTTTACAATATGTATTTATTTGATGTGAAATGTATACAGAGTGTTACACAGAGTTACATGTATTGAAGAAACATAAGATTGCCAGAAGAAATAAAGTGAACATCATGATAATGATTTGTGTGTACTGCTCTTCAGATGGTACCAGTCTTGTGGCGCGCTGCAAAAAAGTTGTTAGAAAAGTGTGAGCCTCATTTCCCCAACCTTGCCACCCCTCCTATTCAGCTGACATGGACTGGCCCAAATCTGATTGGTCCAGGACCACTGAAATACCAAGATTAGAGATTGGTCTTTAGCAGTTAAATGTAACTCCTCAGTCGCATTTGCTGCATTTGTTTCTGGTTGACGTCGAGAGAGAGACACGTTGGAGTGCTACATGTAGTATCAACCTAGTCTTCTTGTGACACTCCAAGCAACAGTATGGGTTGCAGTGTAAGGTGGCAGTGGTGGCGGTTTCAAGCCTTCTCTATTCTAGCCCTCTTCTTAACAGGTAAGGATACTGTATTCTCAACTTAAAGTCAGGATAGTTGATGTGCATCTAGAAATAACAAAAGACGCTGCTTTGACACGTTTCAGATGTGCATTGAGGTGCCCTGCGAAAGCTTGAAAAGGGGTGACTGTGCACTTTATTTAGGCTTTTCTGTTGAATACTAATCGTCTATACTATCTCAACTGGCATGGAAGGGCTTGTGATGAAGCCTAAATGTTGGGTGCGCACTTCATTTGGCTGAGGGCTGCCCTTGCCTTGAAAAAAAAAATTGCTCTTGAACACTAATTTTTCTAAAACATCACGGGATACATTTCGCCTTCCCCAATTCCCTGCCATTTTCGCACAATTGTATGATATTAGTCACGGCTTAAGGAAGGGAGGTTTGTGTCCTGATTTTCTTGTCCCTGTCCAATCGTCTGTGTGTTTCCACTCTTTCCAGTCCACTGCCAGCAGTATTTTATCACCGAGCCGGAGGACACCCAGGTTCCGGCAGGAAACACTGTTCTGCTGAAGTGCAAGGTCGGCAGGAAAACTGGGGAAGTTCAGTGGCTGAAAGACGGCTTTTTACTCGGCTCAGATAGAGATCTTCCAGGATTTCCCCGCTACAGGGTTAGTGTTTGTTGTTTGCTTATTTGCACATGCATAATGAAAGTAATAGAGTAAACATAACATATGCCAAAAGGCAGTAATACTCAAGCAACTGGATATGATTTTGGAAATCATGTCCAAAATCATATCCAGTTGCTTGAGTTACTGCTTTTTGGCGTGTCTTATTACCTGGATGTCTAACCTTCACCAACGTAAACATAACATAACAAAAGAAGATATGCGGGGGGTGATAAAAAGCTGTTATGGCCTGTCTGTGATCTTCCCCCGACAACATGAATTGTATGGCACAGTACTAATGATATCTAACAACATATATAATTCATTCTTTCCTAGAACTCACTGTCACCAAGTACAGTAGGGGCATTGTCATTAGATAGCTTTAAAGTCTAGAGCTAGAAGTTCAAGGGTTAGGTGTAACAAGTCAATCGGTGTAATATAGCCAGCTGCCGCCACGCCGCGTGCCTGCGAAGCTGGTGTGTTATACCGGCTATACAGATAGCGGTTATACCGGCTATACAGATACAGATAATTATTATTAAAATTATAGGTTGTAGGGGACAGCTCGGCTGGACAGTACAGCCTACTGATCGAGAACGCAAACCTGAACGATGAAGCTGGGTTCCAGTGCCAGTTGGGCCCGCCCAATCCTATCGGATCACGTACAGCAAGAGTGACCGTCTTACGTAAGTACATTGTACTGTCGGCCTGACACTTCTATTTACTTGGAACAAAAACAAGAAATAGTAAAAAACAAGAAATAGTCGCTATCGGATCACGTACAGCAAGAGTCACTGTCTTACGTAAGTTTTGTCGGCCTGACACTTCTATTTACTTGGAACAAAAACAAGAAATAGTCAAACCACAAAACAAATTAGCTTATTAGAGTTACCAACCAAGGATTGAGGTGTTCAAAAACTCTCAGTCTTTCAGAGAACTATAATTGCAGAGTGGAACTCGCCGTCACCAAGCATTATCATTAGATAGCTTTAAACAATGTTTAGAGTTAGATGTCCAAGGGTTAGGTGTAACAAGTCGTTCCTTGTAATGTAGCCAGCTACCGCCGTGCCGCATGCCTGTTGGTGTGTGCTGGCTAAGGGCGGTTATACCGGCTGTACAGGTACAGATATTATTATTTTTTTGTCTTCTGGCACTGATGTTTTTTTCCTCCACAGTGCCACCAGATGACCCGAGTATTGAGGGGTACAACACAGGAGTGGACATCCCCATGACTCCATCACAGGGTCTCCAGCTGACCTGCCGGTGCAACAACGGCAAACCCGCGGCAAACCTGACCTGGTACCGAAACGGGGAAGAGATCACTGAGGGGGTGTCCTACAGCAGAGAGAACACGGGGACAGAGAAGAGACAGAACGCCACCAGCGTGCTACAACTGGAGCCTACAGCTGATGACAACCGCGCCAGATACGAGTGCAGGGCCGGCCATGCAGCCTTCGATGCAACTAAGAATGTCTCTGTCACCCTCAGTGTGGGATGTAAGTACACACAGTGTTATCCAAGCTGAGGTTTAGGCTTATTTTGGGTGTGTTTCTAGGCATTTGTATTGGGCTCTCTTTTTTGTACTGGTGTCTTTTTTACACTGAAATGTGCCACTGTTTTTCTATGTCCAATAAGGTCCAAAGCAGGTGGCAAATGGATTGTTCCTGGCCAGTTTGATATCTGTCGCAGCCACCAAAAGATCTGCTTAGAGTACTGTTCTAATAATTAATTAAATAACTAATAATTGCCCAGTTCTTGGGTTGTATGCATGGCTGTTATTGCCTTATTATTCTACTATTAACTTAAAGCGTGGGAAAGAAGCTGATTACATCTCTCTCTAGTAACCAGTTTCTGCAAATGTCGATTTGAGCAGGCATGGCCTATGTCAAGTTGTGCAAAAGTCTGGCATGAACTCCATGTGTACCTCATTATTTTGTGCCTGCTGATCCCAGAAATGACAGACTGACACCTTTAGACTGTCAGGCTACAATTGCTGTTATTTACAGTGTTGAAGTCTGTCTTAAAATTGCTTGCTCAAAGGATTAACAGCAATTGTTCAACAGTAACAGACAATGTTAACATTCTTGTTTTTCACAACTCGGTTGATGATCGTCACATCATGAACAGCCTGTTCTGTATGTTGAAAACGAAGTCTGTCTCATGATGTGACGATCATCAACCGAGTTGTGAAAAACAAGAATGTTAACATTGTCTGTTACTGTTGAACAATTGCTGTCCATCCTTTGAGCCACTGATTTTGTTCAACCTTTTGAATACTATGTATTCAGGTTTCATGTTTAGTCCACCTCTGTATGTAAATAAGTTGGCATCTAAAATATTTCAGATACTTTGCAACTACATGTACAAAGTCATGTAGTACCAAATATTGTGGTTGACTTTGACTATCCTACATGTAGGTAGCATATGGTTGAACTTACGTCTGGTTTTAGGGTTTATTTTCAAACCAGATCACAATTTACATCAAGTGCACTAAAGTTTCTTTTGTTGAAGAAATGTTATCAAAACATCAAAATGTGGTTGTGAATAAATAATTTTGATATTCAATCATTCACCAGCCTGCTGAAACAACCTGATGAAATGATTTACGCATAAAATGTTACTGCAGCTCCACCAGGAAATCCTGTCATCACTGGAATCGAGGCCAAAGTCGGAGACCTTCTACAGATCACCTGCAGGTCTGAAGGTGGTGACCCGCTCCCTGACCTGGTCTGGTACAAGAATGACCAGCGCATCGACGACTCTTATCATTCTAGAAGGTAATAACCCTTACTATGTTCAAATAGGTAAATATATGGGGCCGTGCATGCCCTTTTTCGTAAGGCGTAATCAGGCCTTTTTAGTCTTCGTAATCCATAGGCAGCCTTCCAAAAAATCAACGTAATTCGTAATAGTACATTAGCTGCAAAGGGTTAAAAGTTGTAATCGTAATCCGTAATTGTCGGCGAAAATTTTGTGTAATTCATAATCACTAACCCCCCATGCAGGCCCTCATATATCAAAGAATGTGTAGACCTTATAACAAGCAGTACAAGTTAATTCATCTATAGTTTTGTACGTAAGTAAAGTTCTATAACTCTGCCAGCAATCAGACATTCAACCAGCTGCTTCACACCGTGGTCGCTAGCGACAACAACGCAGAATTTTCCTGTCAGGCTTCAAATGGCGTCACCCCAACTCCACTGAAGACCTCCGTCACATTGACAGTAAAATGTAAGCTGTTATTAACTTTTCGCCTCTTTAGGCAGGGTGTAGGTAGTGTTGTTCATGTATTTTACATGTTTTCGTACATAAAATTTGATGAGCCTAAAAGGCAATATTGAGCCAGTCTCCCCCCCTTCACAGAAATTATTACAGGGAGATAGGTTAAAGAGGTTTGATGATCTTGTTGAACAATCTATCGCACCAGTATATATAACTGGGTGTTTGGGTGACTTTTTTGGTTACTGTATCAAACTCTTGCTTATCTTTGCTGACTTACTGACACCACATAAGTGGGGTCGTGTGGCGCAGTCGGTAGCGCGTTCGGCTCACACCCCAGAGGTTGCGGGTTCGAACCCCACCTTGTGCACCGATCTTGTGCCCTTGGGAAAGGCACTTTACACGACTTTCCTCACTTCACTCAGGTGTAAATGAGTACCTAGCTTCGGTTAGGGACGTCCCTCGGATAGGACGTAAACTGGAGGTCCCGTGTTTGAGGAGAGCCACACCTCGAGCACGTTAAAGATCCCACCACACCTTTCGCAAAGAGTAGGGGCGTGCCCCGGTGTGCGATGGTACAAACACTACTGTACGGAGTTGGTGATTCACCTCAAATCACCTGGGCGGAGGCCTGGCGACCTCCGTCTTGTATAAGCCACATGGTGATTTACATCATTCACCCGGACGGAGGCCTGGCGAACCCCGTCTGTACCAGCCAAAATCTTGGAGAGGAGATAGGCGCCGCCAAGATTATAAGCCTACTGAAACATCGTGGCAAGTCCAGACATGCTGCTGGCTGCCATGATGCCCCTACGACCGCTCACGGTTATGGGACTTACATACATACATACATTACTGACACCAGCTTGGCTGTCACAACCCAGTGTTGTTTCTGGCTAATTGCTTTTAATCAGCCATAGATCAACGACTTAAGTCGGCAAGGTCAAATTCCTCCCTCCTGATGTCAGTATTAGAATAACACTCTAGTGGATGGAGCAAGAAACATGCAGACGCTTGCACTCTGTATGCTGAAAAGCTTGCCAATTTTCTGCCAAGTTCCTTTTTCATTATCATTCCATGGGGTCACCTGTTATCAGAGAGCAAGAAACGTGCAGATGCTTGCAGTTGCACTCTATACTGGAAAGCGTGCAAATTTCCTGTTGGGTTCCTACCCTCTTTCAAATAGGCTGCACATAGTTTTTGTAGACGCTCATTATCGTGGATTGAAGTTACACATTTGCCATGTATCACGACATGCTGATGCATGATGGCCTGGATGCATTCTTGCCCTCTCTCTGAAGCCAAAAAGCTTCTGATCAGTTTAAACTTACTTCTGGTTTCCAAGTTGTTTTCAGTCAGTCCAAAGCACAAGTCAGTCAATCCATCCATCCATCCATCGATCAATCAATCAATCAATCATGCAGGCATTAGGTCAGCACAAGTGCACTTAATTTTTCTGATAAATGTTACATACATGTATTAATAACAGTATTATGAAACATTACATATTACTCTGTAGATCCACCAGGACAACCTGTCATCACTGGGTTCGAAACTCAGTCGGTCAAGAAAGTCGGAGACATTCTCCAGATCACCTGCACGTCGGAAGGCGGCAACCCGCTCACTGACCTGGTCTGGTACAAGAATGACCAGCGCATCGACTCCTGTTCCCGGACTGTCGGCAATCAGATGTTCAACCAGCTGGTTCACATCGTGGTCGCAAGCGACAACAACGCTGAGTTTTCCTGTCTGGCCTTGAACAATGTCACCTCAACCCCACTGAGGACCTCAGTCACACTGACTGTAGAAACTAATGAAGGTAAGCTTTTCAACTTTTCTCACAGTATTTAAGATGTATGTAAGTGTTGTTTGTGGGTTTTTCAAAAGTTTTTTTACATGTTTTTGTATGGATGTGGACCATGAGCCCTATCATTAAATCATGTTGTACCTTTTTTTTAGATACGTCATGGACCAACAGCCTGTGGTCGTGGCTTGTGGGACCTGAAACCTAGGAAAACAGGAAAGGTTAAACGAAGTAGTGGCAGTCAACAGTGCAGCTGACTGTTGAAGCAGAAAAGAGTAATCAATCCTCGGCAAACATGTCACTTATGACACAGCTCGAATGAGAATGCTTTTCTCATGGCTTCATGTTGCCATTTCTGTATCCTATATGATGTGAACAATGTTAATAGCTTCGGAATCCATTTAGTTCTTGAGTGCTATTAAAGTATTTAGCAAGTTGATAGAGAAAGTGCTTTTCTTGAAGTCTTCAAGCCCAGAAAATAATGAGACAAGCTTGTTAGTTAGATTTTAGAGCCTCCTGAAAGTGTAACAAGTGTAAAAGTTAGTTTACTACACTGTCTTTGATATAATACAAGAATAGGAATAAAGGATTTTTGTTACACTGTGATCTCCCTGCGTTACTTTCATTGACCGCATAGGGGCGCTTTTGAAATACGCCATACACCATGCTCTGCCTGCTTTAATGTTGTCAATCGCATGATGGCGCTTTTAGTATAGTCCATAATGAATGAATGAAGACCTTTATTGTACATTTGTGTTCTACAGAACTAAGTACAGGTCGCATGGGTACAGAACATGAACATAAACATATATACATTACATACATATGAACATATAGGAGTGTAAATAAATGTCTAATTTCTATTCTTTTCGGCTTCATCTCGCTTAGTAGTATAATACATAATATAATACATGGTTTGTTTAGTCCCACGATTAATACGAATTTTCTATACTAGGAAACTTATATCTTGTATACAACTAAAGAGAATGTTTCTCTTCTTGTACAATAAGTCAAAACTACATGTGTTACTTAAGGTATATGATTTTCTTCTAACACAACCAGTAAGGTTCTCACCTGCTTACGTTTCGATGTCTATCAGACACCTTCCTCAGAGCTTCTGACTGCAAAAGCGCCACCTACTTTGGCGTTAAATAGCGGCGAGTTGCAGAACTCCAGTCAGAAGCTCTGAGGAAGGTGTCTGATAGACATCGAAACGTAAGCAGGTGAGAACCTTACTGGTAGTGTTAGAAGAAAATCATATACCTTAAGTATCTTCCAACCTGATGAAATTATTTACGGGTACATGTGTTACTGTGAAACAACATCAACACCCCCCACTGGTGGAGCCCCAACCGTACCTACAGATAGTTTGAATAGGGCGATATTTTGTCATCACTCCCGGTGTTTTCTTTCACCGGTTCGGCTGCCTTGTGTCGGGAACGGAAGCTAATTGCTCATTTCCCGATCATTGTGGGGGAAAGTTGACAGAAAACATCGGAAGGTGCAGTAGTGGTAGCCTCTAACAGGCTTCGGGAAGCGGATGGAAAGAGTAGAAATCGGCCAAATAGACAGATAACATGCCAGGGGAGTTGGTCCGCTGAAGAGCGGCAAACAGTACTCCTGTAGCGGACCAACTCCCCTGGCGTGTTATCTGTCTATTTAGCCGATTTCTACTTGTTCCAGCCGCTCCTCGAAGCCTGATAGAGGCTACAGTAGTGAAGGGGTCGCGCAAGTTGGGGTAGCGCCGGAGGGAGGATAGGTTTGAAAAGCGCAGCTGGGAGATGGAACACTGCACTCGACCTCGTCTTTGAAGAAATTCTACAGATGATTCACCAGTCAACAAAACGTAAAAGAGACAGGGCGCTTTCACGGACAAGTTGTACAGAGTCACTGAAGAGATATGTCTTAAAGTGTACTGAATCTCCAAGCAGATCTTTTGTAGCTGGAATACAGTATCAAATCGGCAACACAGTATCAAATTGTAATCCAATATCGATATCCAGACGGGTCGTCAATTTGTAGCCTCTTCCAGGCTTCGGGAGGCGGCTGGGAAGAGCAGCAATTCGCCAAATAGAGAGAGATAACATGCCGGGGAGTTGGTCCGCTGGAAAGTACATTTTGTCGCACCCCGGCATGTTATCTCTCTCTGTTTGGCCAATTTCTACTCTTTCTAGCCACCTCCCAAAGCCTGGTAGAGGCTAAGGTGACTGGTTGTAGCGTCTACCAGGCTTCGGGAGGCGGCTGGAAAGAGTAGAAATTCACCAAATAGAGAGAGATAACATGCCGGGGGAGTTGGTCCGCCAGAAAGTACATTTTGTCGCACCCCGAGTACACCTTGCCGCACCCCGGCATGTTATCTCTCAATGCTCTCTCAATTTGCTCGTTCCGTCCCCGATCGAATGAATCTGCTTGGAGATCAAAGTGCACATGTAACAACTATGCTTTGCAGACAAACACTTCGCGGGGCGTTTGTCTGCAAAGCACAGTGATCTTATTTTATTCCATCGCCACACCTGTCTCACTTTGACCTCAGTGTTGTGATTGATGTTCATGTATGTTGGTGGTAACGTGTCGATCTGTCAGCACCGGTTTTAATAGTTGCACCACTTGATAGAAAGCTGAATAAACACCTCTTGTTCGTTCAGTAACCTTACCAGAAGTTGTTCTGATACGTTGTCATATAGAATTCTACCTATGCTGTCTTCTCTCGTGTTATTACTAGTCGGTATTCAGGATAAACAAAAAGGAGTAGAATTCACCCAAGTTCATTTGAAGGCGCTTGTATTAGTTGTAATTGCAGGTTGAAAAGGCGCCGAATGAGGTGCTCTCTTTCTTTGAATTGCTACCAGTCATCGAAGGTTCGAAAATTTCAACTGAAAGTATAACCTCCTGGCAGAATCAACAATTTGAGCTCGCGCAGGTAATGTTCAGCGCGATATCATTCATACGATTTTTATGTCATAGTAGTTTTCAAGCGGGCTATGACAGTACAAAGTAATGTAAGGTATGACAGAACCGGTCGCCGACAAAATGAAACATTATTTCTGGAGTTTTGTAGCCCCAACCAGGCTTCAGACGTGGTTGGAAGAGTAGAAATTGGCCAGACTTAGATAGATAACATGCCAGGGGAGTTGGTCGGGGTACAGTTTGCCGCTATGCATAGCTTCTGAAGCCTGGTACATGGTAGAGGCTACGACACGTGTGTAGCGTGACCCTACAAATGTTAGCCTGGGTACCATCCGGATTTCGCTCCGCTACGCTAGAATCAGTGGTACCTAGGCTAAACACGTGTACGACTATCCCAAGAATGCCTCAGTTTGCTAGCCCTGAGGAAGACCACCAAGAAAACGCGTGTGTTCTCCCTCACCGGTTGTATTAGTTCCGATCCGATGTTGACACAACACGGTAAGTTATCCCCCGCACGGTGTGAGCCGCATCGAGATATCTCCTCTAATCTCCTGTAACAGTGCGGGGTTTATAGACGCTGCCAACTAATCCGGCCGACGGATCTAGACATTTCAGGGGGCCCGCAAGCCCTTTTCCGTAGAGCGTAATCAGCCGTTTTAATTCTACGTAGAGCGTAGACGGACCGCTCTTCGCATTTTCCCGTAGAGCGTCATGATTCGCCGTTTTAATTCTACGTAATGCGTTGTAGCCATTTGGAACTTATCGTAAAGCGTAATCGAGGGTTTCCGAATTCAGCGTCGAGCGTTGTCGGGACCCCCCCCCCCCTTGCAGGCCCTCATTTCAGCCGAACGGTTAGAGCGTCGGGGGTAAAACTGGTGCCCGGGCCGGATTTGGCGTGAGTTCGATCCCGGGACCAGGAGAGTCTTTCTGTTTCTACTCGCGTCTAGTTTCGCACACTCCAAGCAGATCTTTTGGTGGCTGCAAAGACAGTGCGTATCAAAAAGGCCTAGCAGTTTTCAATGCAGTTACCATTTGTCGTAAGAAAAGATTAGCCTCCACCAGACCTTTCTACGGGAATTTGAATATGGATCGTAGGATTCGGCAAAAATGAGTCAGAGTAAAATTGGCCAGGGGAGTCAGGCCGTGGGGAAGTTGTTTCTTTCCCTCCAGTCAAACCCCAAGGCGGCCAAACTGTCCAGGCAAACATTAGCCAGCGTAGTTAGTCTGGTAGAGACTAAGAGAAAGAAAGAAAGCCCTATAAAACGCGTTGAAAACAAACCACAGCCTTAAACCTCTGCTTGGGGAGTATCCCGTGTCTTCTCTGCTTCCACATGTTCATTCCAACTATCAGGTGATCGGCGTGAGCACACACAGGTGTAGCGGGTAAACAAACCTACAGGTCGGGCTCCCTTCTATTTTGTCACTTACTGCCTGGCACAATTAAGGCGTTCTTGTTAGTTTTCTAGAGATATGCCAGATCTAAACTCATTTTATCTATAGCTCTGAATCCGACGAACTGTTTTTGAGAAGAAAAGAGCAATATTTGGAAATTTGCCTTTTCAGAATTGGAACGTCCTCTCCTGGCGAGCGGCACCGGTACTACATATTTGGGTCATACTAATCCATCAATGTATGTACGTAAAAGCAAAGAATTCGAAGTTCATTCGAAATCATTAAAGACATGTCTAAATGGTTCAAATCCTGGTTGGATCTCAAAGCCTACCCTTGTGCAGAAGGCTGTGGTCATCAATGAATATACATTTTGTTCTTGAAATCCTATGCCCAACTTACCAGTGAAGTCTGCCCCCGTCCCAATCCTTCCCCTCCATCCAGAGGCACCCTCCTATCCTAACTACAAACGATCGGTCCCTTCCCAAGTTCAGGGGACAAGTACGACTTACAAGTCAGCGACTCAGTGCGACTCAGTCTTCTCAAAAGACCTGGAAGATTTTCCGACCGAGGGAGAATCCGTCGTCACGTCTTTTTCATCTTTCTTAAGGCGCGATAGTCCATTTAAGACGGCTGGGTACGTAGGACAGGTGAGAAGATACATTTGTAAACAGGTAACGTTAACATTGCTCCTTACGTCCTGTAGTACTTCATAGCTTTCTTGGCTGTTACATCTAGGGAAAAATTCGTCTGTATAACAGGACTTTAGTTCTTTATGTAACGTTATATGCATGGCACTGCATTATGAGTCACAGGTATGTACAAATAGTGTATATGCTGTATATTTGGCATGAGCCTTAGGCGTTTGTGACGTAAATGCTGATTCAGACTTATCCAACAGTTCCAAGTACA